GTAAGTACAAATGAGAGTATATTTAATGTATATTTTTCAATAATTAACACATAGAAATGGGTTTAAATATTATTGTCAATGTTCACGACGACGAGTATTCATATCTTTATGTTTTCCTATTCTTCTTAGTATAATTATCGGTATTATTATTCTTATTATTCTATTAAACAAATCCAAAGTAACAACTATAACACCTTGTAAATATCTTTTCATGAAAAATTTTTTGTTTTTATCTGGAATTGAATAAAGAACAATAATTCAAAAATTTTCATACTATTATTTTTAGCTCCTATAGCCATTCTTCGTTGGAATACCACTGGTATAACATTGTTTGGTACTACAGGCATAAGAGGAAACACATCTCAACAATTTTACAGTCCTTTTGGTTTAGCATTCGACTCATTGAGTAATCTCTATGTTGGTGATAGATATAATCACCGAATTCAAAAATGTAATATCATAACATTAACTTGTACAACAATAGCTGGTCAAGCAAATGCAGTAAAAGGAACCAATATGAGTTATTTGAATGGTCCTACTTATGTTTATATTGATTCGAATGATAATTTATATATAGCAGATTCTGATAATTATCGAGTTCAATTTTGGAGTTATGGTGCATCTTATGGCAAGACCATTGCTGGAATTACAGGTAGAAAAAAAATATATAAAGTGGACCGCAAAAGTTTAAGACATTTTTATTTCTGAAGTTTTTCATCGAAGATGAGTAGCTAGATCAAATGCAAATAGTGATTTGGATACCTCTTGAAATTTTCTATCGAATGCAATGTGTGTCGAATTTTCAAAAGAAAGTTTGTCAAGAGAGTTTTTACAGAAAACCATACCAGGGAGATTTGAAGTCATAGAGAATTTTGACGGAAAGATTTTTCAATCTAAGCATCTCAAAGAGTAGAAAATTTTGAAGAAAATCAAGGATCGACAGACTCTGTACGATATTCCGTCACAAAGTTATAAGCATTAAAAAAAAATGAAAAAATGTGGTTTTAATCGAATTTTAGGGCTTGTTTTGATAAAAATCGATGAAAAACGAGTTTTTTTTTTTCATATTTTCTAATGTTTATAACTTTGTGACGGAATATCGCACAGAGCTCGGCGACCGTTGATTATCTTCAAAATTTTTTGCTCTTTGAGATGCTTATATTGAAATATCTTTCTATCAAAATCCTCTAGGACTTGAAATCCTTCTGACAGGGTTTTCTGTAAAACTCTCGTGACAATCTTTCTTTTGAAAATTCGACACATATTGTGTTTGATAAGAAATTTCAAGAAGTATCCAAATCACTGTTTGGATTTGACCTAGCTACTCATCTTCGATGGAAAACTTCAAAAATAAAGATGTCTTAAACTTATGTGGTGCACTTTTTTTTCTATTTTATTACTTAAGAGTCAGTCTTTGAGAAAATCAGTCACTCTTGCCCATCGACGATGGAGGTACATCTCAGAATTCGCCGATTTTTTTATATGTTATAGAGGGTAGTGAGTTTAGTATTTCCTGGAATTTTCAGCTCGATCTGATTACTTTTTCCTATACAACCAATCAAAATACTAACGAAATTTTTGATAATTTTTCATCGGTTTTTAGGCAATTTTCTTTACTAAAAGTGACTTTTTCATTTCAATTCGTAAGACTCTTGAATTCTTGTTTTTCTAACTATAATTATTGAGGTATTGTCCTTCTATATACAAAAATTCAAATGTTTTCATCAGTCCTATCAGGATTTCCGAAGTACTCGTTTTTTATGTGTTTTGTAATCAAAATGTCGGTCAATCGTATTTTATGCAGCAACAAGCAATCACTCTGATATTTCTATCAGTGATAGAGGACATCAAGTTCTACTACCTAGGATATATCACAATTTTGTACTTTGAGAAAAGTCAAGCACTTTGAAAAAGTCACTTTTAGTAAAGAAAATTGCCGAAAAACCGATGAAAAATTATGAAAAATTTCGCTAGTATTTTGGTTGGTTGTATAGGGAAAAATAATCAGATCGAGCTGAAAATTTGAGGAAATACTAAACTCACTATCCTCTATAACATATAAAAAAATCGGCGAATTCTGAGATGTACCTCCATCGTCGGTGTCTAAGTCTCTCAGAGACTCACTCTTAATAATTTTGATATTTTCTCTAAAAAAGAAACTAGTATTATTTATTTTCAATTAAATAGTTTCTAACATATTTCTTGTCACATTATTGAATATTAAAATAATTATAATTGTGATGATAGGTTCTTCAGGTTCAGCATTAAATCAATTCAGCATTCCATATGGCATTGCACTAGATTCTAATTCAAATACAGTATATATTTCAGACTATAATAATCATCGTGTTATGAAATACTTATCAGGTAGTTCATCGGGTACTATTGCTGCTGGTGGAAATGGTTTTGGAACAAACAATACAAAATTATATCGTCCTGCTGGTCTTATATTGGATTCATCAACAAATAGTCTTATCATTGCTAATTTTGGTGCAAGTAATATTGTTCGTTGGGTCTTAGGTGATAATAAATGGACAATTGTTCAAGGTGATCCTAATGGATTGAATGGTAATACATCAACATTTCTTGATCATCCTACAGGTATAACATATGATCCAATGGGTAATCTGTATGTAGCAGATATGTTTAATCATCGTATACAAATGTACGAAGTTGGTCAAACAAATGGTACTACAATTGCGGGTATATCAGGAAAACTTGGAAATAATTCAACTATGCTTTATTATCCTGTTTCGGTAATCCTTGATAATCAACTTAATTTATATGTCAGTGATTCATTTAATCAAAGAATACAAAAATTTGTTCGTTATTAAATTTCATGTTCTTGTTTTTTTCTTTTTTACTTCTTTTAAATATAAATTTTCTCTTTGATCTTTCTTAATAATTATATATGATTGAAATAAGAAAAAAAACTAAAAATACTAATATTGATATCATGATCAAGTAAATTTATTTTCATCGATTAAAGTATATAAAAAAATGATAGCTGACTCTTTGACACCTAATCCTTCTCTCTTATTCTTTTTTTTTTCTTGACTTTCATTTGAATCGAATAGTTGATAAATAAACAGGATTAAAAAAGTAGCAGGTGCATAGAATCACATCCTCGCAGTAAAAAAGAAAAAAAAAAGAAAAAGAAAGAAATTTCAACATTGCTATTGTGCGTATACCAATAAAAACAGTATAAGAATAAAAATGCTTTGGTCTATGTTATTCGAAAAGCCTTATATATTTATCTTTCTACTTGCTATTACTTTTTTAACAATTTTATTATGTACAATTATTTGGTTCTGTCTTTATATAAATCGTAAACATAAAAAACAATCAAATGTTGCTCTGGCTAAAAAACGTTTACTTTATTCATCATCACCATCAATAACACCACAAATATCAAAAAAAACAACAGGTCGTTTTGTTTTTCCATCATCAAAATCAGAAAATCCAGAACAATCACCAAAAATCATTCGTGAAACATTACCACAATGTTTTATTAATGATATTCCATCAAATTATAAAACATTTGATTTAGCTAAACGATATCAAAGACATTTATCATCTGATTCATCATATACAAGTTCAACTAATCGTCGTTCAAATCCTCCACCAACATTTTCATTTGATACAGTTAAATCAAAAATTCAAGAAGTTTATCATCATTCAATATCATCACCTGGTTTATCTCGTCCACTTCATACAATTACTTCTGAACAAACTTCAAGTGAATTTCTATCGGATTCTGATGAACAAGATAATGAATCAATAATAACAACAGTAACACCTTCATTTGAATATTCACTTTTAGAATTATTTCGTATTGATATTATTTATAAATTACATTATTCAATTGATGATAGTCAACTTTTATTTCAATTAATACGTTTAATTTCTACACAACCATTAATTGAACGTTGTTTTCCATCATTAATTTGTAAAATTCGTTTATATACAAATAAGGATAAACGTAAAAATAAAAAATATTTTTCAAAAAAAGATCCAATTAATGAAATATTTAAATTTGATTTGGATCAATTTACATTAGAACAAAGTTATTTAAAAATAAATGTATTAGGACAACATAAAAATGATAAACGTTTAGAATTAGGTCATATTATTCTTGTACTTAATCAATATGATAATTTAATGATACGAGCTGGACATCATCATGATGGTGGACTAGCAGCAAGTGAACAACATACAAAATCTATTCCAATAAGTGAAGATCGAATCGATATGATAACTCAACAACAAGTCAAATAAATTTTTTTTTCTTCATTCTAATTTTTTGTCTTGTTTTCTTTTTTTTTAAGGTAACATCTGAAAATGAGGCTCGTGCATTAATATCTTTGGTTTATGAAAATGATCGATGTTTACTTCATGTTGGTGTAATAAAAATAATTGGTATTCAATGTTTACTTAAACAACCAATTGGTCATTCTTATCATCGTGGTAAATTTATTTATTATTTTAATATTCTTTTTTTTTGTTTTTTTTTTTTCAATTGAATTTTTTTTTTCTTTTTTTAGATTTAATTCAAATAAAACTTTGTACAATTGTTGATGGAAAAATAACAACAAAAAGAAAATCCAAAGCAATTTTAATGGAGAAAAATCTTTTTACATTTAGTACATCATTTCATTTTGAATATCTTTCAGTTCATAAAACATCTGTACGTATAACAATATGTTATCGTAAAACATTAATGGCATCTCAAAATAAACCAATATCATCAATTGAATTTGGTTCAACACAAATAAAAAATCAACAAGTTTTTCAACATTGGACAGATACATTATCGGAACCTAATCGACCACATATTCAATGGCATACACTTCAACCTATTGATACAAAATAATTCAAAATGAAACTCATTCTTTTTTTTTATATTTTAACTTATTTTTTGTCGTCTTGAAAAATAATACACAAGAAAAAAATATATAACGAATCGATTAAAACATATTTTTCTCTTTTTTTTTTAAATTTTATTTCTCTTGTTTTATTAAAGATTCAGATTGTTGTTCAGTTGTATCATTCATTTTTGTTTGTGTATTATTTGATGTTGATGGAGAAGTTGTCGATGTTGATTGAACTTGTGCCATGTTATCTGTTGTTTCATCTGTATGTTCGTCTTTATTTTCTAGAAATAGAAAATTTTTTTGTCTATTTGTTGATACAAAAAAAAACAATTTTACTTTTATGAGTTATTGGATCTGATCCATAATGATGATCATCAATCTCTAATGGATAAGGTATAGCTCGTTTCATTTGCTAAAAACAAAACAAACAAACAATCAGAACTTTTTTTCATCTCATTGAAATTACAATGAGCACATGGATTTTTTGTAGGCAAAATTAGAATTCGATTAGAGATAAATTTATAATTGAATAAAATATTTTTTTTATTCAACAATACTAGGCGAGGGAATTTACCGTTATTGTCGGTTACGTTATCATGCACCTAGTAATGTACAAGTTACTAGCTCCTGGATGACTGATAGACAGTGACTTTCGCGTTAATAGTTATCAGGGCAGAATAACGCCGCGTACCTAGTAACTGCAATGGATAATCCACAATTTCTGATTTGAATATGGAAAAGATGTTTTTGAAAAAAAACGGTATTTTCTAAGGTTTTAATCAAAGATTCTTGAAGTCGAGAAATTCGAATCTATAAGTGGTTTTTCGAAACTCATGAGTTTGATTTTTCATTATGGCAAGGATAATTTTCGAAGATAGTGATCTTCTTCTATTCCTAGCGAAAAAATGAAACTCGAAAATTTCGATAAATCACTTACAGATTCGATTCATTGACCCCGAAAATCTTTAATCACAACTTTAGTAAATATTGTTATTTTTCAAAAATATCTTTTCCTTATTCAACTCAGAAATTTTGTCTTATCGATACAGTTACTAGATAAGGCGGCGTTACCGTTATCTGGTAACATAACTAGAGGATAACAGTAAAATCCCTCGCATAGATATTGTTGAATACATAAATTATTCTATTTAAATTTTAATTATTTTGACTGCATGAATTTATCTCTAGCCGAATTCTAATTTTGTCTGAATTCCAATTTTGTCTGAATTCCAATTTTGTCTACAACATATTCATAGATGTCAAAGAATATAACAATCGATTAAACTCATATGATTGGATACACTTGAATCTCTGAATCAAAATAAAGTATATCTACGAGAATTACAAAAAAAATATATTAATAATATGGAACGAGTTTTTTAAGAAACACACTAACGGCAATTAACAATAGGCTGTCAATAGAGATTTTATTTTCCTTTTTACAGGAATTTATTTAATATGATTTAGAAAAATAATCTGTGTAATAAATAAAGATATTACTACTAGTAATAAGTCATAATCATAATAACCAAAAAAAGTAATGTAGAAATATTTCTAATCATTAATTAGATTTTTTGCTTTTACACTAAACCATTATGATAACGTTAGATTTGATTTTACGAACATAGATTGACCTCAATATTAATGTATTATTTATAGAACTAATATAGTCTTTGAATTGTGGAAATCACAAATGGTTGAAATAATATTTCTTCATAACATAGAACGTTAATTAGCAACTTTTTGGTACAATTGGTGCGAAAAACTGAAAGTAGACCATAACCATATATGAGCGGTGCATTTTATTATATTCTATGCCTATGTTACACAGCAGAAGTTTCCCAACACTTTACCGTATATTAGTTGAGATACGCCTTACTCCAATGTAAATGTACCATAAAAAATCAAAAATGTCCTTTTACAGCTCATCATATAACGTAAATATCTCGAGAACAATAAGAGATATAAGGCCGATTTTTTACATGGACATACAACTCTGAGAACTATATCTACAGTAAAAATTTGAGCGAAAACAAACTAGTCGTTCACGAGTTATTTACATAGTAAATTTTAAAAAAGTCCTTCTACATTTCTTCATATAATGTAAATTTCTCGTAAACGACAAGAGATAGACGGCTGAATTTTGAACCAATTATATAACTCTAAGAACTATAACTACTGTAAAATTTTGAGCAAAAACGGATGAGTTGTTCAAGAGTTATTAGCGATGAAATTTGCAAAAAGTCCTTCTACAAAGTGAGTAAAACTTGAATTTTTGGAAAAACATCGTCTTTTTTCAACGAAAAGAAAAGGTGTTCGGAAGAAGATTTTTTTATCAATTTGTTTTCCGCTCGATGGCGTTTCTTTTGAATACCTTCCCGTTCCTTCAAGTCACAGCCAGAGGGAGAAAACTAAGAAATGAGGTCCTTCTACACAAAAATGACGAAGTGTCTGTAAATAAATATTTTGAGCGAAATGGTGCGAAAAAAGAGAGAGAGAAACACAAAAAATATATTATTCGATAGAGCGTTTCAAGCAGTATAAAATGGACTATTGACTATTATTTTTTTCTTTTCTTTGTTAGTTAGAAAATTTCCTTTTCTTAGCACATCTCTCTATAAAATACAATTTTTTCGCAGTGTAAGACCCATAGGTCCGCGCCAGTACACGCTAGAGAGCTGAATTTTGCTGTGGCAGTGGGACAGTCAGAGACTAATAACACAGAAAAAAATCGTCCAGATCGGTCAACGGGAAGAGAAGTTATTAAGAAAATCTAGTCAAAATCTCAATCGTACCAAAAAGTTGCAATTCACTCAACATTTCTAATTATAAAACTAAAAATATTTAAATTTTAAATTCGAATTATTCTTATTATTTGCATATTTGAAATAAAAAAAAACATTTTTACTCTATCTTCTCAAATGTGAATATAACTATATTATTCATAAATTACATTGTTGTTTTTCTTTCTTTCATCTCGATTCTATTTTATAAATATTTTTGTTTTTTGTAATCAACAAAAACTAATATTCACAATCATTTCTTATATATTGATTTTTATCTAGAATTTTACATTAATTTATTTCTTCATTGTTTCTTTAACAACTGTAGATTTTAAAAGATAGATATTGACTTACATCAATAATATCATGCATATGTAGTGGGTTCATATTGATGTTAATTTGTTGATTATTGAAATAATGTATCTAAAATTGATTACTTTTGTATGAAGTATAAATTCGTACATTTTATATCGTGATGCTAAACATAATTATATTTTCTCCTTTCTTTTTTCTTTGTTTGTTCTGGGTTTCATCGTAATGAATTAAAAAATCCTCGTTCTGTACATTCACTATTTTATTTGTTTTTCTTTTTTTTTGGTTTCACTTCATATCAGGATTACTAAGAGCACTCAGCGACATCCAACATATAATCATATCATATGATTTTATGCTATTATGTTTTTCAAAAAAGTAATTCTAATAAAGAATTACAAAAACAAAAAATAGAATAACGCATATTAACATATTCTCTTGTTTGTTACTGGCATGTCAATGTATATCACTATTTATAGATCTGAAACAATTTTTGAAATTTTAGCAAATTGATAAAACGAAAAAAAAAAGATTCAAACATTCAATAATTCAACTATATATTCTTTATAATTATTTTATTTTGATTTAACCTTTAAAAAAGCACAAATAGCAGCCAGTACAAGGACATCAAGATAAAAGACCAGAACCAATGCAAAGACAAGAACGATAACGAAAATCTTCTATACTGTTATTATTAGTTGAAACTAGATCATCTAATGATGTTACTTGTTTTGTTTGTATATGATATGATGTATCTAAATAAAAATATTCAATTATTAACAACGGTCTTTTATAAAAAAAAAAAAACAAAAAAAGGATCATTATCTAATGCATTTATTTCAATATTGAATATTTCGTAGTTTAATATGTATACGAGAAGAGAAACATAGTAAAAAATTTAATTATAAATAACTCAATTTTTTTGAAAAGATGTTTTAACAAGAAAAAATGATTCCAATAGAGAATATTTTGGTTGAATTTCTTTAAGTTGAATAAGATTGTGAAAGAACACCTTCCACTTTAAATTCTCGTGCAGCTGGAAGAAATATTTCATTTTCTTTTAAAAAGTATGCATGTTCTCGAATATCTTTTCTACTTTGACGTTCAGTAGTAAAAAAGTTCTCGATCCAGATGAAGTGAGAAATGATTCATTATTCAAAACATCCATTAATGATGTACATGAACTAAAACTCCACTAGATAACTGTTTCTCTTTTTTTATATTTATGTTTCATATCATTTTTAATTCCACGGTAAACAGTTCGTTGAGTTGATGGAAGTCGAGAAAGTGTTATCACAAGTAACTTCAAGTATAAAAACTAAGGTCTTACTGATTGACGATTTTCATTACGAAGAGTCTTATTCAATATATAATAAACATTTTAATTTAATTGAAGGCAAAGAATGAATGACATTATATTAACTACAAGTTATATTCATTTTTGTACAGCTTTCTTCTACATACAAGATGTGTGAAATAATTTCTAGAAGAAATTTTTTTCAAGGCAATCAATATTTACATAATATGTCAAATTTTTATTTTTATACTACAAATTTAGATAAACAAGAAATTATTTGATTTAAATTAAAATTCTAATCATTATTATAAAATATAAAATTACAAAAAAAAAAAGAAAATTTAATTTGCAAGTACTAAATAACCCATCAAAGATGATTAACACTTTTAAAACTAGTTTACATTGAATTTTTTCAAGTCAATAATAATATAAACCAATAGATTGTATATCAAAACTTTTAGAGATAATATAATTTCATATTCTAGATTATTTTGTTCGATGTAGGATTGTTTATTATTGATTAAGATAAAACAAATATATATTCTATATAAAAAGATCAAAACTAACTTGTGAAATAGTTTTTTGCAAAATGAAAAGGATAAAGTTAAAAATTTTCATAGTTTGAATAATATTTGTTCATACAATAAATTGATATATAATTATAAACTTTCTCATATCGAATATTTTAATAATTGTCTTAAATAGATTCTTATGAATATATTACTTTTAATTCCAATCATCATATTAGAAAAAAATAAAACATCAATAAGAAATATCTGAGTAAATGAATGATGAGAGCAATAAAATAATGACGAGGTACTGAAATAGGTGTTTTTTTTTGTTCTTTCTCTCTATATGTTGACGTGTTTTATAAAATAGATGTTTCGCACCTACAGATGATATACAGATTTTAATTAGTGTAATGTTTTTCACAAGTTATTCTCCTATGTCAACTTCAAAAAAAACGACATTCATATTAATAGCACAAACACATATTTTGTCGTAAAAATTGCCTCTTATTAAACTCTATACGAGTTATGAATTCATTAGTTTTCTTTTTTTTCTACCCAGGCAAACATCCTTTTTCCCTTGTCAACCAACCTTATATATTAAAAATTAATCATTTATACTAAATCATTATTTCTATTTTCAGGATAAATATGCTTTTCTGTGTCCTAGAAGAAATCTATAAGAGAAAGCAAAAACATAGAAAACATACATCAAAAAAATATTTTCCACTAAACATTGATCATATTATTTATCTCCATTATTTAATGTTCTTCGATGTACGACAAATTGGCTTCCTTTTTCTTTCTACCTTATATTTAAATAGTAGATTTGAAATAAGTAGAACGATGTCTGTTAAATCTCAATAAAAATTCTTATGTCATAGCACAACTATCTAATGATTATCTAAACAATTTTTCGTATATTATTAATCATAAATGCAAAAGCAAGGATGATTGTACATGAGAGTTAGCTCAGAGCAAAGTGTTTGATATACTTAATCATTCGACTATCAAACTATTAAAAATGAACTCTTATTTCTTCTTTCATTAAATGAAAATATTGATCTTTCATGCAATGATTTAAATAAAAACGTACGTGCAATATGCAATCGTCATGAGTCCCGGTGCATGTCAACTAACACATGAATTAATCGGAAGAGAAGAAGATGATGTGTTCTTGTAACAATGAATCATTAGGAAATTACAAATATATTAGTATGTATGATTCAAGAAAATTTGCTATGCTTGACATTAAATGTAATCGATTGATGACTCAACAAGTTATAAAAGAAATTACGTTCAAATATAATCTTACAAAAACAATTAAAAGACGATTAATTAATATATTATATCAATCATTATTTATTTAATCATTCATATTTCAATTAGAATTTTCTATGTTTTTAATCATCAAAAGAAAAAAAAATTCAACTTGATAAATAATCAAAAGTTTTCTTCCCTAAGAAAAAAATAAAAATAAAAAGATTAATTTTGATCTTTTTTTGTTTTTAAATTTTCTAATCTATATTATTATATTAAATTGATATATACGATATATAATAATTTAACATTTATTATAGAAACACAAATCATAACATAATAACCAATCGAATAGACTAGAAACAAATACTAATGAAAACAATGAAATATTAATATATAATGAAGAAGATTTTGGTAAATGAACTTCACTTGTAATAAACACAAGTAGAATAGTATTCGTTATATGTATTGCTAATAGACAAACAGAACAAATAAATCCATATATAAAAAAGAAATTTGCTTCTTTTGAAAGTAATAAACTATCAATTAGAAGAAGTAAAATAAGATTATAGAAAATAATAAATAATGCAAATCCCATATTCCAATTTAATAAATGTTTTTGTTCTTGTTCAATTGTTATTATCCATGATGGATTATGATAAAATTCTGTATTAAAACAAAGTAAAACAAGACCTAGAAGTACATTAATACCAAGAATAATTGTTGAATAAATTCTTGATAACATTATTTATCATTAATATTAAATATCTTAAAATAAAAAAAAAAAAAGAACAAGAAACGAAAAATCAAAGAAATCTCTCAATGGTTTTTTTGTTCAAAGAAAAAGAAAACACGAAAACAATATTTTTAAAGTTGTAGAATAAATTGTCCATTTGGTTGATGAAATTGTCTACCAACATATGTAATCCATGCAATAATACCAACAATTAATGTTAATGAAAGTAAACATAAATCTCCAATTAAATATTTTGATGAAAGTAAATTAAATATTTTTATTTTACTAATTTCATATGCAACAAATATAATTAAAACTATATTAATTAGATTAATTATAAAAGTAATATATGCATGAATTGTTGCATAAATATGATATTCTCGACCCAAAAAACAAGAAAAAACAAGTGGAAGAAGAATAATACTAAGTAAAATAATAATTAAACCAAGTATAATTGAATAACCAAATATAAATTGATAATCAGATGATGTTAAACTAAATGTTATATTAATTATTAATAAACTAAAACCAGTTAATGAATGATAGAAAGCAAGACATCCAGCTAAATTACCCCAACAAACACCTGATTTCCAATTGGATTTGTATACAATTGTTGAATCTACTTCCATTATATAATTTTAAATGTCTTTAACGAACGATAGATAAAGAATAAACATACGAATAAATGTATATATATATATATGTATATTCGATTGTGATGTATATAAAAAACAAAGAAAGAAAATAACAGAATGACTGTATTTCGATTTGATTTTATCAGCTGATTATAATACAATGTGAAATCTTTATGCATTATCGTATATTTTCGTCTTTTAGATATATTATTGATAAATTTCCCATAGGAATACTATTTACTTTATAAAAAAGAAAAAAAGAAAAACATGTGTCATATTCTATCTATTTTATTTTTCATTTCAATTAATAGAATCATTTTTGATAAAGTTAATTATTTAATATTAATTTAGAAATCATCTATTAAAAAGATTAATTATATTATTTTCAATAAAAATAATCGAATATTTAAAATATTATTCATTCAACAATTTAAAATTATTTATCATAATCAAACTCATTTTATATAGGTCATAATGATCGTGCCTTTATTGAATTATTATAACTGGCTTCCGCTCTTTGTCACTGAATCAAAATAAAAAATATAATTCTCTAATGATAAATAGAAAAAGAGATTTTTTTATTTCCCGAAAAGAATAATCATTCAGAAAAAAAGCCAATAATCCATTTCTAGACAAGA